TTTATGCGCTGAGCACATCGAACTGATTAATTTAATCCAGAGTCTTTTAGTTTCACTGAATACACTATGATATTTGTGCATGGCTACTGGTAAGAGAGGCAAAAGGTTTGACCTTGACCAAAAGCTTGATCATAACCATGAAACCAAGAGGAATGCATAAAAATATCAGTTCACAGGATGAAATGAAATTACGCCTAAAAGCATCCCGATGCTTAATCGTTGAAGTGATTAGAAGCAGACGAGTCATCAAGGGTCCCAAAAAAACCGGGGTGATCTGGCCAAGTAATTTTCTTCTTAGATTCAAACAATCACAGTTATCAGCCTTGTATTTCTGTTATTGCCACACCGAAATTTTGATAAGCTTTCCTCAAACTTGTTATTCACATTTTAATACAAGCTTGTATTTTTGAGAGACATTTTTCTTTCTTAGTTTCATTCAGATGTCTCAAAAAGTATCCAAATTAATGAAAATATGGAGGTGGTGAAAATCCCCATGTTATGAAAAATCGAACGCGTGAAAATTTGAAGATTAGTTTTGTTTGTGTAGCTGGTGTCGTATCGAAAACAGCAGCTCAGTGACAACCTGTTTGGATAAACAGCAGAAACGTAATTTAAAAAAGAAAAAAAAAGCGTTTAACAGAGATTATTTTGTAATTTTTCCGCAATTTTTATTAAAAATCGAACGCTTTTCAAGAGAAATGAGTTTACAAGAAATTTACGAAAAAGTACTGACTTTCCCAAGCGTTACCAATTTTTTCGTAATTTCTTGTAAACGGCCCAAGCCTTAGTACTTTTTTCGTAAGTTTCTTGTAAATGATTTTCGTCCAGGTAGACAGCGAATTTCCATAGTCCAAACTATCCGTGAGATTGAGGATTTCGCAAGCAGTCAGTCTTAATATACTCTTTTTGAAATATCTGAAAGTTTAGTTGTGGATGGTGCAGGAATTATGTTATATATATCTTGCAATCATAAATCAACGAAAATCAATGCCTTCCCAATAACATTGTCATCCGATCGATGAACACATGACAATAATAACCATCCTTCCGCACTGCTTGCTTGTTTATTCATACATGTAAGTTCTGACAACAAAGCGTGTTGTGGTGAGGAGAAGTGACATCGCTCAAATGAGTAATAGCGTCTCATCAAAAATTAGGAGGGCTGTCGCACCTTTGAGGTAAATCAGTTTGTTGTTACTGGAGTCGCAAAAATTGTCAGAAAATAGGGCATAATCTGCGGAGATAGCAGTTTTCCCGCCAAAGGTTTCACGTGCCGTACGTAAGACCCAACTTTGCTCAGAAACTGAATTTGAACTTTTTAAATTATAGGCGGACAGGGAATATTCTCTTAAAGTTTCAACTTTTGCAGTGTCAGAGTTAGCAATTTTCCTGCCATAACTTCGACGTGGCCCA